GTGCATGACAAAGTATCAATACCGCTGACCATGTTTCGAAACTAATCGATAATCAATCGATATTCTCGTCCAGTAAAGTTTTTCTCGTCCATCAGAATTTTTCTCGCATTATAATTTTTTTCTCGTGCATAAAAAAGTTATTCTGGTAGAGCAATCTTTTTTCTGGAAGTACAAAAACTGTATCTCATCCAGTAAAACTGTAGCTCGTCCAGTGAAATTTTAAACTCGTACTATGATATTTGTAACTCGTCATGTAAACCTCTTTTCACTATACTTTTGTGCTGTCCGGCTTGCCATAAAGGTATGCCCGACTCAAGGTGTTGGCCAGGAACATTTCTTTGCCATTCTGATACTGACATCGATGTTATAGGGCAGAGCGCGTACCAACATGCCTTGATGGCGCTTGGGGGCTCTTTCAAGGGGTTTCTTTGTGATGCTCTCTAATGGTTTGTGGTCAGAGTGGAGGATTACATGACGACCATAGGTGTACTGGTGCCACTTCTTGAGAGTGAATACAATGGCGAGCATCTCCTCGATTGTTGCGTACCTTGTTTCGGTATCACTGAGAGCTCTGCTGCCATATGCTAAAGGTCGTCCTTCTTGTAGGAGTGCTGCACCTAGGACTTGCCCACTGGCATCACACTGAATTTACAGTTGTTTAGTCCAGTCAAAGTAGGCCAGCACAGGAGCTTGTGTTAGGAGGCTTTTGATTTCTTCAAAAGCTTTGTCATGAACAGAGTCCCAGGTCCACTCAACATTGGGGTGGGTCAGATCATTGATGGGACACATGACATCAGAGAGTTTAGGGATGAGTCTTAAGAGGTAGTCAACAGTCCCTCTGGGTCGTTCAATACCCGCCTTGTCTGTAGGAGGCTTCATCTTGACTATTGCTTCAATCTTGGTGGGGTCAGGCTTAAGACCATTTCTGCTTACCACGTGGGCCATGAACGGAATTTCCTGTAAACCAAACCATCACTTGTCTTTGTTGAGAGCAATTCCGATCTCATAGCAGCGTTGTAGAAAGAAATGTACCCGCTCATCATGTTCATCATCTGTGTGGCCCCAGATGAGTACATCGTCAGCAATGCAGCAGACCCCCTGGAGACCCTCCAGTGCCTGGTGGAGCCCTTTCTGGAGGATCTCGCTGCTAACTGTGAGGCCGAAGGGGAGACGGCAATAGCAATAGCGTCCAAATGGAGTTACAAACGTGGTCAGCAGACTCAAAGGGTGGTCAAATTCGCAGTGCAGATAGCCTGCTTTTAGGTCGCAGACAGAGATCTTGCACGCTTGAGATAGTTCTGGAAGGATGTCCTCTAGGACAGGTAGCTTGTAGTGTTCTCGTTTGAGGGCTTGTTTGAGAGGGTGGGGGTCTATGCAGATTCTGACACCGGACTTTTTCTCAGCGACAGACATTTGACTCACCCAATCGGTGGGTTCATTCACAGGCACAATCATACCAGTGTCCACAAGGAGCTGGAGTTCGGCTTTGACTAGATTTTTACGTGACTCAGGCAGGGTGCGCGCACTTCGAATCATCGGGGAGGCACCTTCAGCAATTGTGAGGTGTACCTTCAGGTGTTTCCTTGAAGGTGTCAGGAAAGAGTTGGACATAGTCATGTTCAGGTGACGAAACTGCATTTATGACCTTGAACTTGTTATAGTGCACTGTGATGAGATTAAATTTTTGTGCCACTTTTCCACTTAGTAAAGGGGTGAGTTCCTTGTCAACAATGACAAAGTCCACTTTGAAGTTTTGCTTTGTGGTCGGATTCATAACTTTTAGTTTGCATTTGCCGAGGGCTTGCAAAGAGGTTCTGTTCCACATCTGAAGGTTCATCTTTTCAGGGCGAATTTGGGCATTTTCAACGTAGCGCTTGGGCAGAATACATACAGTAGAGCCACAGTCAATTTGCAGAGTCACCGGCTTTTTGTTAACTTCCATTTCACAGAAGATTAGTTGGTTGCCAGGTTGGACTGCGTTGATGAATTGATCCTGATCAGTCGAAATTCCACTAATGGTTTCACTGCTGCTTTCAGAGGAGTCAGTAGAGTAGTCTTCACCCACAGAGTGGAGGCTGTGGTGCTTACACTTTAATGACATTTAAAAGTGGTTTTTGCCACCACAGGCCATGCTGGTCTTTCCCCACGCTGGGCTTAGTTCCTTCCTAATGAGGTGAACTTGGGTGCAGAAAAGACACTTTCCTTTAGTAGCATGCTTATCACTAGTTTCTCCAGATTTTCCTTTACCGGAATTGTCTTTTACTCTGTGCTTTTCTTTTCCATGATCTCCAGATTTTCCTTTAGGTTTGTGTTTGTCGTCAGCAGGCTTTTTCTTCTTAGATTTATTGATCACCTGATTAATCTCCTCACTCTTGAAAGCTTTCACGTGAAGAGAGGCAGTCTCTTTTGCACAACAAATTTTGATGGTTTTGCTCAGTGTTGAGAGGAGTTCCTCACGAGTCTTGTCATCTGAGATGCCTAAGAGAAGAGGATCCATGAGCAAGAGTTCACACCTGCAATCGCAGAAGCCACAGGTTTTGGCCATGTTACATAATACAGAGATATCCTCATCAATAGACTCACCAAATTCTTGATTTCGGCGATTAAATTGGAAGCGCTCGAAGAATTCTTGTTTTTGACCGAAAAAGTGCTGATCATATTTCATTAGAATGTCAGCCATCTTGGTGCTATCTTCACCTTCACCGAATTTCATTCTGTTGAAGAGTCGCATGGCTTCATTGCCAATGCAGTGCAGTAGCATGGCACACTTGTAATCTTCACTTTGGTCATTTAGACCGGCAAGGAGACAGTAGTTTAACTATCGTTGTTTCCACAACTTCCAGTGATTTTGGTGGGGCAATTTGCGGTCGCCGAACACTGGGATTTTCTGGAGCTTGAGCAGTGGGAGCAGCAGCGGCTTCGGAGTTAAGCATGTCATTCCAGACTAGGAGACGGAGGTGTATGAACTGCAGGGAGTTTCACACAGATGGGAATAGTATCGGCAGTTTCCAGAGAGTACATGATGAGAAATAGACTCCTTGAGTGAGGCAGTAAACAATGTTGGAAGGAGAGGGAGGTTCTTGAGGGTTCGACGAGAGAACGACGACAGCAGTAGTCACTGTTGAACGTTAACTCGGTATCGCTGCCACCATGTAACAATATTGGAGAGATATTGTTGATAAGAACGAAGCAAGAAGAGAGCTTCAGTGTGAGTCCACACGTGTTTTTAAAATTGCCGATTAAGATAACTTTATTCCCCAAAGCGAGGTCATGTCTTAAGCATCACGCGTAACGTCATACACATTGTAACATAAACAACAAATGTGTTTAGTTACAATGATATGAACTCAGCAAGTATAAAACTAATTAGCTAACTAAATAACTAACTGACTGGCTAATAAGAGAACAAACATCTATTAACAAAAGTCCTCTTGAAACGTTCAGTTCTTACAAGCGGGAAAATATAATTATGGCGCCTCTTATGTTGTGTAACCATGGGTCGCTCTAGTGGCAAAAGGTCATATGAAGCTGTTGTAAAATCGCTGTTGGTGATCTTGGCCCACAATTTCTTATCTTTTAGAGTAATAATATTTTCAATCAAAAAAGCTCTTTACAGTAACCAAGCTTAAAAGCTCTCTTGAACAGCCTGTCTATGCGACTCAGATACTTATGATAATACGCGCAGCCCCATACTTCCACAGCATATGTAAATATAGGTGGAAGATGAAGATGATCCGGCACCAGTCCATATAATTTACAAACATGTAAGATGTACAGAGGACTACTAGCTTTCGATATAATATTATCAAAATGTAAATCCCAGTTACACGGATCAGATTGAAAAGTTACACCCAACAACTTCAGACATAGTTTATGCTCTATAGAAAGCAGAGGAGCAGGTAAAGCCTTAGTGGATTTGCCTCTAAGAGGCATCTCCCACATTTTCTTGAAGTTTAGTTGCATACGGTTAGCAGATGTTCATGCGATAATCGATCGGACCTCTTCAGCTTCTGAATTGCTGTTGTTAGCTCGCAGTTTTACTGGAATACTTAATGTTAAATCATCAGCATATTTCACAAGTAAATTCTGATTTGGTAGAATGGCCTTAATATCGTTGACCATAATAGAAAATAGTATAGGGCCAAAAACTGTCCCCTGAGGGACACCCCTATTGATATTTAAATAATCCGTAACAATGGCATCAACAAGAACTCTTTGTTTTCTGTTCTGTAAAAAACTACTAATCCAATTGGTCACGTATGTATTTATGTCAAGTGTTTTCAACTTAGAATAGTTATGGAGCCTCCAACTTTCATGGGAAAAATGCTTGCCATAGTCATAATCAAAGCTGTGTTTATGTTTAATATTTTAAAAAGTTAACTTGATAGAAGCAATTATTTACAAGGTTCAGATTTCAAGTCTAGTCATAACATGTGACAAGTAATGCAATCCATCAAAACTAAAACTTGGCCTTCAAGTCACCATTTCTTTGGTAATTGCAAAAATAGACATAATTTGATCAACGTAGCACAATATAACTGTGGTTAAGAGTCAGGAGCTTTGGAGTCTTGCCAAAATGATTGATGAAAGGTGCAGAAATATGGTGCAGGACAAAGACTACATTACAGTCCAGGCAGAAGTAACTTGTCATCTTCCTCACACCAGAATCAAAACATACTTTACACCTTCTTTCCTTTCTCTTCCCACTTTCATTTGTTGGAAGGTACTCAGGAAAGTGCCTTTCTACATTATGCAACAACAATGGCTCATCTGAGGGTCTCACACGTTTCCTTAGAGAGGAAAAGTCACCAATTAGTTGCTTTCCTAAGTCAATGTGAAAGGATTTCAGGGTTCGCTTTCCATGATTGGGTGACTCCTGTTCCAAAATAAAACTATTGAAAATACTCCTGTCAATAAGATCAAACAAAATTCTAATCCACCATTTCTTTCCAGATACAGGAATGGTGTAGTAGGATTTCATTTGATCATTCTTGTCTACACCACCCATGTATGTGTTGTAGGATGAGATATGCTGGGGACAGGTAATTTGTTGAATCATTCCATCTTTCGGTTTCCAGTTGACCTCTGCAAGGTTCTCCTAAGGTGCTTGTGTCTAAGTGCCTGTGGCATGCACTGCCTTCTTATCCATCCAGGTAATTGCAAGTGCTGGACCTATTATTTGCCACAAGACATCACCTCTCTTCATTGACTTTATATGATCCTTGTCAAAAAGGTGGAGGAAATTCCTTACGCCCTGACTGCAAAGTCCCACAACACAGTATTTCATTCTGATACAAATCTTCAGTCAATTTGTATGAGGTAAAAAAGTTGTCGCAAAAAATGGCATAACAGTGACTTTTTGTGGTTTCACATAACTTAGTGACAACTGAGTAACCAAGTCCATGTTGAACTGGTTGTTGTGTCTTCGCAGTGTAGATATCAAAGTCACACAAATATCCACTGTTGCTATCTGCCCTACACCACATTTTGATGCCACGTTTTATGGGCTTCATGGGTATGTATTGCTTGAAGGAAGTGTGGGCTTTATATTTTATCATAGCCTCTACAGCTTGCTCATGGTGGGGGGCATAGTTTATTTGAAAATTTGTTTTCAAATCATCAATAAATTCCCTAACCTTGAAAAGCTTGTCAAAGTTACTGTCTCCAGGCCTTGGGATTTTTGTGTTGTCATACAGATGAATATTGTTCCAGATGTCCAAAAATCTGTTTCTAGGCATGACCTTTGAGAATGCTGGAACACTCACTTCTTCTACTGTATAGTGTACATGATTCACAGACATATTTACATAGCCCTCTAATTTTCCCGGGAAATTTCCGTGCTAAAGCGACTTGAGAAAACTTGAAAAAATTCGGTAAAAACGCATCCAATCTGAAACAAACTACAAAAATCCAAGGTGGCCATTGTTTTTATTCGACAGAGGCTTGGGACTAATAGCAGAGAGTCTGCAGATCAGATTTATGCAAGGTTCGGCGTCATGGCAGATATATCTGCCAACATGTCCTCCAGGTCGAAATTAACTGATAGCAGTAATTGCTAAATGACACCAAATTAATTGATATATATAGTCCCGCCAAGTGGTGTGCTGGGGTTAGACTGGTGCCCATAGTTATGTCGTCAAAAGAATTCGAAAATGGCGGAAGCTGGTGATAGTCTCAGTGCGGGTGAGTTACTTTACTACTAATAGCACCCTTATTTTCTGATTATTTCATTATCTTAAGTAATAAAAATTTCCTATGTAGCTTAGTAACTTTAGAACTAAAACAATCTTTAGTTTTTAAATACCCATATTGCACATGAATTTTTTTGATATATCCTCTTATGAATCATTCATATTTGTGTAAGCTTGAATACCTTAATTAATTTTATGTACGCTTGTTCATGTAGCTGATGGCTGTGATGAGAATGTTAGTAATAAGAGGGAACTTCCAAAGGTTTCTCTTGCATCGATATCTTAAGGTTTTGCAAATATAAGACTAAGGTAGAAACACTTAATTACTTGTAAAGGTGGGACATACTTTTCTTACTTTTTACACGCCATTCCATGCCAAGGGCCACAATAGCGATTTTCGCCATGGAAATGGCCAGCAAAAATCCTTAAAATATACAGCTGTTTCACGTTGCCTCTTTTAGCAAATTCTTTCAGCAGTCCGTTATAGAATCGCCTATTGTGTTGCCTGTCTCTCAATGGTTTTATAGGTGAAATATTTGAGATAATCCTGTTTATCCGACGTTGTAATGTAAGCACTATCAATTTTTAAATACTAGAATAAAAACAAGGCTACTGCCTAAATGGTACTTCATGCAGTAGGCTGACGTGCCTCAGTTACCCGATATTAGGCAACTAAAATGTTTTTCTGGTTACCTGTTGGGCACCTTTTGTTCCCAACTGGGCTCCAAAGAAAACAATTGGCCTGGCCTACTAACTTTTAAAAACTGGACCCCGAAGGGCTCCCAAAAAATTGTAGTGAAGTTTTTTTTTCCAGTCACCCTTAAACACAAAGGTGCACCATAAAAGGAGAGGTGCCTTAGGTACCTCTGTACCGTTTGTCAATCGACCGTCATGTGATGTAGAACTCTAAGAGTCAAGTCAGCTTGAGCTATAGCTAATCAAAAGCAGCGAACAGCAGGTGGTTCCTCAAAATTGTTTTATGTTTTCAGCACAATACAAGAATTTCTGAGATTTGTTTTTCCTTTCTCCAATGGAAACTGTCTTTATTTGTGGCGGTAAATTTGAAATCGAAGTAGGTGGTTCGCACGTTACATCATTGCCACTATGCTGGTGGAAGTAAGCATCTTATTAGCTCCTTTTGTTCGTCTACCAGGCAATTGAGGGACCTCTCCTTTTATGGTGCACCTTCGTGTCTAAACTGTTCACTAATGGAACTTAATCTAATTTTGGGTTTGTTAGCTAAATAACTGAACCAAATATGATGAATAATGGTAATTGAACTGAGGGCAGTGCAATTTGGTCTGAAATCATACCTGTGATTTCAAAATCAAACGAGTGAAAGGTGTGAGTTGGATTTGAAATCACAAGTATGATCGCAGACCAAAATCAATTTGCACGACCCAAGGTTCAATCGCCACTTTATTAGATCCATTTTGAAATCACATAATTTATTATCCAAAGCTTTCATTTGCCTGTACTTTGATTGATTAGTTTAAAAAACCTTAAAATGTGATTGGTTGTTTTGTTTTACTGTCCCATTCTCATTGGCAGAGGAAAATATGCAAGTTAAAGCCAAAGATAGTGCAATTTGTGAATAAATTGCGCGCCTGAGAGCCAATCACATTGCAAGGATAACCAGTGATTTCAAAATGGATTATCCATTAATTTACTTTGAGAGAGTTATATTTTAAAAGTTATCAAGCCCAATAGGGGATAACTGATTACAGAATACCCTTGCAGTCACTTAAGGAGGTTTGGAAGGATTTCACAATTACCATTGGGTCTATAATGGTTCAAAAGATTTCAAGAATGAGACAAAGAAGACTAGATGCATTATCCAAGTTAAGACTGGGTGTAACCGCTAGTGCTCTAGCAGTTCTGCTCTCTCAAATTTAAGTGGACAGTAAAAAGAGTAGTGAAACTTCTGCTCCCATAGTCATATACACCAGAAGTAAAAAAATTACATAGCTGTAGTCACCCATCAAGCTTTTAGAATGAGCAATGCACATCCATTCATGTTATTATTTTGTATGTAGATTACGTCAATTATTACCACTGTGGGACAATGAGAGCAGCATGTGATGATACATATTAAGTAGCTGGGTATTCTGTAATTTAGTCTTACCTAAAAGGACTTTTAACTTGATCTCCCATTATTTTAGCTTATGTTAATTTAAAGGTAATTGAAGTACTTTGCACAATTTGATTAGTCAATAGATGTGTGGATTAATTTATATGGAAACAGGGTAGTGGCATTTTACGTTTGTGCAAAGTTTTATGAAATATTTTGTAAAGTTATGCAAACCTTCTCTTTATACAGTCAATTACCTGCATATGACGGCCACCCTTGGGACTAATGGAACTGGTCGCTTAATACAGGTGGCTGCAAATTAGTACAGGATCACTAAAAACACTCACTGGGCATGGTCTATAATGTCAATTTTAATGGTGTATCTACAAAAGCACTTCAAGCAAAAAACTATAGGACAATGAACACTCTTTCAAGTTATTAGTATCAATCAGTTAATCATCAATCAATCCTTTATTTTAACACTTGTTTCATCAAGGAGCTAAGAACTTATTTAAAATATGAACTTTCCACGAAGTTCAGTGCCAACTTGTAACTTAACTGTATAATATATGTAACAAAGTGTAAAAGTATCATGCAATAAATTCTCCTCTACTCTTACTGTATTGATATGATGTACAGTTTGTAACACGTGCTGTTTGTCTACTATCGGGAGACGTAGGAAACGGTTCTTGATGAGACACAGCAAAGCTTTATTTTAGGTTGTCGTGATCAAGCACCTCTAAAGTATGACGTAAGGATCTCAATACACTCACTGAAGAATCATGCAGTCATTGTATGACAATCAAGTGTCACGTGACTTATGAAATAACGAACTATTGATAAGATATTGTAACAGCCTTTCCCTTTTGAAAAGGAAAATGAAGAAAATAAAACTATCTCATCTTAGGCTAAATGAAAAATGGGGGTATAAGCTTGACAGCATGCAATGCTTAATAGCAGACATAGTCTTTGAAAAGTTCTGGAGGCCTTCGAGTTCGTGAAGGCCTCACAGGCTGGGGCTCTTCATTGACTTCGAATCGCTGGGGTTTGCTTAATTTGTCTGGTGGGGTCTGTGGCGGGATGCTTGCGGTTGGCGCTTCAGGTCTTTCAGCATGCTTGTGCGACATTGGATTGTTTGACGGTGGTGATCTGCGGTCCTGCTGAATTGTCGGTGGTGATTCTTGAGTCTTTCTAAAGTGCACACGGGTACGACTGTATGCTCCACCATCCAAAGTCTCCACGGTGTATGATCATTCGTCATCTCTGTTGATCACCAGTGCTTTGCGTCACTTCTCACCAGGACGTAGCGGTTTCATGCGCACAGTGTCACCCTTCTGTAACGGTTTGAGGTCTTTCGCGGTGCGGTTGTAGTACCACTTCTGTTTCTGCTGATGCTCCACAAGCTTCGCATGGTTGTCAGATGACTTGGTGCTTTGGAGTTGTAGAAGCTGACTCACTCTTGGAAGTAGGGTCTTCGTTCTTAGACCCATTAGGCGCTGAGCCAGACTTGACCCAATTCCCTGTGTAGGCGTGTTTCTGTAGTCCAGGATCGCTAGGTAAGGGTCATTGCCAGCTTCGAATGCTTTGCGGAGAATTCGTTTTGCTGTCTTCACAGCAGACTCGGCTTTCCCATTTGCCTTACTGTTTCCAGGGCTGATGGTGCAGTGTTGGAATTCCCAGGTACGAGTGAATGTTGCAAATTCGTTACAGGAGAATTGAGGGCCGTTATCCGACCCAACTTTGTCA